TTAACTTAATATAGATTTGACAAAATTTCACTGATTACATTTGATCTGAGACCACAGTAGAAAATTCACAATTTTGTCCATCTTTCATTTGATGAAATAAACGGTATCAGCAATTTGACACATCCTTTCTCCCAATAGCTTGTCAACAACCTTTAACATGGGTAATGGATGGTAGTAACTATGATATTTTATAAGGAAAATCACAAAAGTTGCTACAAATTTTGAACCCTAATTGTTTCAGCAACGGGGGTTGCACTATTTTTTTTAGAATTATAAGGACCATAACCCATTAATTTGAACCAAAACCAGATTTTTTCCTAAAAACCGGTCTTATGGGGTTTATGGGGAAATAACTAGTTACAATAGCTTTTGAACTTACATTACATTACATCCATTTTTATCGAAGGAGCCTAGATTCCCCGACGACTACCCGGTACCTATTTTCACTAAACTTTTGAGCTGTAATTTTTAGGAAAATGGGATTTGTATTATTTTGTTCAGAATTTAAAGCATTATAACATAGAAATTTTTTTATCAAAATCGTCAGGCCGTTTTAGAGAAAATCCGATTTTTCTGTTATTTTATGTGTTTTTGTGGGATACTCACTATTAAAAATAAAAATTCCAAAAAAATGAATAAACGCTTGGAGATATCATAGATTAGTACCTACATATCAAATTTAATCAAAATTGGATTATAGGTGTGGTCTCTGTTAGTATCTCTGTACACATCCACACATACAGACACACACACACACACACACACACACACACCAACACACACACTTAGATATCACTTTGAAAACCCCTTTTTTGGGCTCAGGGTGACCCAAAACGGATATATCCACTCAAAACAGAAACTCAAAAATTTTGATGAAAACAATACTTCCTCCATATCCACTATGTATAGGGGGGAAAAGTAAAAAGTTAGGCTAATTATTAAAACGTTTTTATTAGCTCGCTTTCTTGTCCGGTACAAATTTTGAAATCAATTTTATACTAACTTCCCGACGAGCTAGAGACTTGAAACTTGAAACATAGCTCACAAATGGAAGACAATGCAATATTATATCATTTAATTTTCATATTTCCCTTGGGCTACGCCCCATGGGCTTGTTTTTATTAAATCGCTTTCTTGCAAGTTTTGATACTTCCCGATGAGCTAGAGACTTGAAATTTGAAACATAGCTCATAAATGGATGACGGTGCAATATTATATAATTTAATTTTCATATTTCCCTTGGACTACGCCCCATGGGCTTGTTTTTATTAGCTCGCTTTCCTACAAATTTTGATTTCAATTTTAACCCTCCGAGTGTTCATAGTTTAGGCCTTAATGTCCGCCTATTTTTTGCGCATTTGCAAGGTTTTATTAAAACGGACCTGAGAAGCTTAAAAACAATGTTAATTCTACTGTTCTATATACCATTTTGTTTGGACAATCATGGGCTTCAATATTATACATAAAACATAAGGAACATTTGTTTCAAAAAATTTTTTTAGGTAAAAAAAAAATATTTTAGAAAAATTGAAAAAAAAAGTTTGCGCTCAATGAAATTGTATAAATTATAGGCCTATACATATTTGAAAATAGCCACTTTGTTCTAAATTTAATGAGGATTACAAATATATAATCATATAGTGAGGTAAGTTATCAAATAAATACGTTATGGGCAAAAAACCGATTTCGGTACATAGCGTTTAGCTAAGAATGCATAGCCTAACCATAGCTAGGAATCTGGCTGATAATTTACATCAATGTCACTACCTACTTCTTCAGGGTCATCAACCTGCCCTTCAAAATCACTTAAATCTTCTTATAATGCACCACGTATATCACTACCTTTGATTTTAACACTAAAACAATGATAAACGTAATAAAACACATCAGTCATCGGTGCGAGGTTAACCAAGCTGTTTACAAATACGCACGTCAGCTGTCTGCTACAATATTTTCGGAACTAAAATGAAGAAACAGACATCAGGAGAAAGCTCTGAATCTGCTGAAAAGAACGATACCTAACTCGATCCAGTTCAATCCGATTCAGTCAGTCATAGAGCCTTCGCCGTAAACAATGTTTGTGTGTCGAAAAATCGACAAGTGACACTACACAGAGTGTGTCGTGAGTAGATTTTTCGACAAGTGACACTCGGAGGGTTTAACGAAGTTCCCGTTGAGCTAGAGACTTGAAACTTGAAACATAGCTCACAAATGGATGACAATGCAATATTATATAATTTAATTTTCATATTTCCCTTGGGCTACACCCCTTTGGCTTCCAAATTGTCCATGTGTACACTTTAAAATAATGTAAATATATAAATTAATTTAAGTCAGCTGTAAATACTTAAATTTGACAGGTAGAAGAGCAGAGATTAAAAGGTACAGGTTCTGCTCCCGAGATATTCTAAAAATATAAAACAATCATTTCAAAGTAAAGGTAAAACATCTGATTACAGATAATAAGGTTTTGGGTTTTGGTTATGTATTAAGAGGCTATATAAAATAGATTTAACATATTTACATATTAAAGACTAAAAAATAGATAATAATTTATAAATAAAAATACTTTTTAAAAATGCCACGTTTTTAAACGCACTAAAAAGTATAAAATAATTTATAAAATGTTGAGAGAATAAATACTGTAAGATTTAAAACAAAAAACGTGGGGCGCATGCAATAGATCATAATAGTTCAATAGGTGAAGTTAATTGTAAATGAGCGAGCGCCCCACGTTTTTTGTTTTAAATCTTTCAAGTATTTATTTTCTCAACATTTTATAAATTATTTTATACTTTTTAGTGCGTTTAAAAACGTGGCATTTTTATAAAGTATTTTTATTTATAAATTATTTCCATAAAGACTCCTAAACAAATGGCCCATTAAAACTAATATTTTTCATATTTTGGATGTTATTTGTTCGTAGGAACATTGTCTTGGGTTGGCTATGTGTGTGGCTCAATTGAGTTGGGCTATGGTGTACTTGTTTTTGAGGTATTTTTTTGCCAGAAATGTAGAAAAAATGTATTTCAACCTTAAGAAAAACATATCGGTGATTTAAGTGTTTTGGTCAGTGTAGGCCTAAGAACAGCTACAGTGACAAAACCGGTTAGTATTAAATTTTGAAATGAACTACGATATTGCAGGTGTTAGGTTGTAGACTTTATTATACTGTTATTGTACTTCCTATAGTTAGTTACCTTTAGCAGTTAAATCATTTATCACATCTGGAAATAAAATGACAGATGAAGAATTTTATTTATGGATGGAAGGTTATGAGTCTATTCCAAAGCCTCATGTTTTGGTATGTTGTTCATTTTGTCGTTTGAATAAATAAATTATGATACAAAAATAATAAATTGTAGAAGATGCATATGCAAACAAATGATAAAAATTAAAATAAATAAAATAAAAATTAAAATGCAGCAATATGTCAATGCCCTCAGGTTTACAAGAGCTCTGAGCTTTATGTATCCTTTATATTATTTAAAATATCCAGAAATTAGCCTACACTCCCTTAAACATGAATTTGTTTATAATAGTTTAAAGATACAACTTCTAGAAAGTTCAGGTACTAATATATTTAACTTAAAAGAAGAAAAGACCCAATAGAAAATCTTATATATACAGTAGTTAAAAGAATACCCCTGCCGCAGCAAACCTAAGCGACAATAATATTTGCCTCAAAAGATTTTCACTAGAATACATGTCAAATTTATTTGGTTGGTGCTGTTCTGTTAAGTCACTCTCTTCCTCTTTTTCATTTTTTGCAGTGCTGCTAAAATCGCAGCATACACCATCACCTCCTCCATTTGAAACGACATGTCACACTACAGAACTGTTCACAGCAGCCGCAAAATGCAAACTGACTGTACTGCACGCACACTTGCTGCTAGGCGGAGAAGATTCAGTCCCGCCTGGCAGGCGAATCGTTGCACGTATGGGGACCTCGTTTTAACTGATCAGTTTGGCCTTCTGGCTCTCGCCGGCTGACCGATCATTACGTGTATGGGGGGGCCTTAGATTTAACAAGTACTTAGGTTTGCTGCTGTAGGAAAGGTAATAAAGCTGTTTTTATTAAAATGTCAACAGCTTAGTATGAAACAAATAAAAAATTGAAATTTTAAATTTACAGTATTTTTTAATTTTTTTCCGTAACTAATATATTTGCAACGCTTTATATAAATCTACTATATAATTTTTTTAAGCTTTAAAAATGGTTCAGAAAGAAATTAAAAAAAAAATATGTTTTAAGGCTCAAATTTGAAAAACCCAATTTCTACCCTCATAACCCCCTAAAACCCCATTCCCAAGTCTGATTAAGCTGCGGTTGCAAACTTTACTTGTTCAAAAAATGAACGTTGGTTTACATGTTTGTATCAATTGTCATCAAAGTTGGATCTTTATATTTATTAGACAATATTTATATTTATTAGACAACATAGCACAGATTCTGATAAATTATACAAAGTTAATTAACAACTTTACTTTGTTAAGTTAGTTGAACTATGTGTAGTTTAATTTTGTTACATATTGGATGACATTTAAGAGATTCCAGGCTTGTGGTTTTTTTAATGAACAATTAGCAATGAAGGTTTATTTAATTAGGAAGAAACGTTTTTAAATAAGCTACTTCTATAAATCTATTTTTTTAAATGAAACATTTGACACAATAATTTATTAAGCATAAAACTTAAAAAGCATATAGAGCCCTTTTAATTTATAGAGCCGAAAATGTAATTAGGCCTTATGTGTTTATAAGATAAAAAAAGATAAGATGTGAGATGTGTTAAGATGTGGATAAGAGAAAAACTTGATAACAGTTGGTTGGTATAATTTAATCGATGAATTATCCATGTGGTCAAGGTAGCCATAGTGTGACAGATCAACAGATGGGATACTTATTTTGTTTGTTGATTTCCTAATCAACAATAATAATGGATCTTGGTTATAAAACCAAAATGTTTTAGCAACAATTTTGTAAATTTTTTTGCTTTCAGTCTGCCAGCATTGGAAAAGCCATCAACCAACATGAGTCTCCTGTCAAAGAGAAACACATCCGCAGTATCCTTTTATTACTATTCAGTTCACAACTTGCCATGAATGTGTTTTACATTGTTTATAACTCATTCAGATTATTATTGATTGTATTGACAACTATGAATATTAAGTTGCTGATCACATTATATAGGTACCGTAACCAAGGAAGAACATTTAATTTGCTAATTTGGGTTCGTATCGCTCTTTGGTTAAAACTGTGGATGATTCGGGAGAGTACCTGTCTATAACTTATGCAGTCATATTGCTTTGTTTGTAGCTCCATAGACAAACATGTTGCTAGTGAATATCTTTCTGTAGTTTACAAACTTTGCTCACATGACATATGGTTTAAAAAGTATTCATCAAATTTTTGTATTCATTTCTCATGATTTGGACTTTTTTGGTCCAATCATGAGGTGTCTGAAAAGTAAAGGATTCTTTTTTTCCAATATTTTGACAGTTTATTTTTGTTTTACGATAGACCTTATCCCATTTTCCCGTAATCAAATTCTAAAACATTTTATACAGGGTGAGTTTTAAATGAGTTCCCCCCCTACTTTTTTCTACATTTCTTAAGATATCAACTCCGGACCACATCAGATCATTGTAGAGTAGTAAGTACTTCATTTTGACTGGGTATACATTTTTGGCCGCCATCTTGGATCCGCCATATTGGATACAAAGTTTTTTTTTTCAAATGTAAAGGTAGTATTGTGACCCATTATTTCAAATTAGAATTTTACGCTGATTACAATGCCGCAATTAGTTTTTAAAAATCTTGATCCGTTCTAAAGTTATGAGGACTTTTTATAACTTTATTTTTAGCCCATTTTAACATTGTGCATTTACAAACTAAGACCTTAATCTCAAAATAGTGCTAGATAAAGATAAGTATACGCCACCATTCATTGTCGACCTATTTTCACTTGGTTATGACGAATGTATTTTTTTTGGCCACCATCTTGGATCCACCATTTTCAAATGTGATCAATTAATTTAAATATGAAGGTGGTGTTGTGACCCATCATTTTGAACTACTTTTTTATACTGAACTCAATGCCGCGAACCGTTTTTGGTTATCAAGCTTTCTTGATGAAATATTAAAATTCTCTTATTTAAAAATTCAATATTTCAAAAACCAAAGATGCAAATGAAAAACGGATTGCGGCATTGAGTTCAGCATAAAAAAGTAACTCAAAATGATGGGTCACAACACCACCTTCATATTTAAATTAATTTGTCACATTTCAAAATGGCGGATCCAAGATGGCGGCCGAAAAAATTACATCCGTCACAACCAAGTGAAAATAGGTCGACAATGAATGGTGGTGTATACTTATCTTTATCTAATATTTTTTTGAGATTATGGCCTTAGTTTGTAAATGCACAATGTTAAAAAGGGCTAAAAATAAAGTTATAAAAAGTCCTCATAACTTTAGAACGGATCAAGATTTTTAAAAACTAATTGCGGCATTGTAATCAGCGTAAAATTCTAATTTGAAATAATGGGTCACAATACTACCTTTACATTTGAAAAAAAAACTTTGTATCCAATATGGCGGATCCAAGATGGCGGCCAAAAACGTATACCCAGTCAAAATGAAGTACTTACTACTCTACAATGATCTGATGTGGTCCGGAGTTGATATCTTAAGAAATGTAGAAAAAAGTAGGGGGGGAACTCATTTAAAACTCAGCCTGTATAGTGTTTTTTAGCGAATTTCCCTATATAGGGAAGTAGCTATTATCGTAGGTCTATGGTAAAACATGAGCCCGGGACTGATTTACTTTTCATTTTGATGTCCCTGGAGGCCAAAAACACTATTCGTTCAAATTTTTATTTATGTATATTTGCTATTCTTGGTTTGTTGGCTACTCATCACTAAAATAAATTAATCACAATTTACAAAAAAAATGTGGAGGTATATTTTGAGTTTACATCAAAACCCATCTTCAGCCTCTGGTAACAACATATCAAGTAAATAAACTATGATTTATAATATAAATTAACAGTACCTGGGGAATCATTAGTTCACTCTGAAAGCAGTCTTAGTATCGGAGATACATAAATCTGTTCCCAAACTCCACACGGCTCGCCTTTACAACGTCCTACACCATTTCCTACGTCATGGACCTGTTTCCCTCCATTCCCATAGCACTTTAGGATTGTAGATACCTTAATCTAATCGTTATTAACAGTTCCCACACTCCGGACAGCTCGCCTTGACTACTTCCTTCACCACTTCCTACATCGCGGACCTGTTTCCCTCCCTTCCCATAGCATTTTAGGATAGCCCATACCCTATCTAATCGTCATAAACAGTTCCCACACTCCGGACAGCTCGCCTTGACTACTTCCTTCACCACTTCCTACGTCACGGACCTGTTTCCCTCCCTTCCCATAGCATTTTAGGATTGCCCATACCCTTATCTTATCGTCATAAACAGTTCCCACACTCCGGACAGCTCGGTTTGACTACTTCCTTCACCACTTCCTACGTCACGGGCCTGTTTCCCTCCCTTTCCCATAGCATTTTAGGATTGCAGCTACCCTAATCTTATCGTCATAAACAGTCCCCACACTCCGGACTGCTCGCATTTACTACTTCCTTCATCACTTCCTACGTCACGGACCTGTTTCCCTCTATTCCCATAGCATTTTATGATTGCCTTTACTACTTCCTTCACTACTTCCTACGTCACGAACCTGTTTCCTTGCCTTGCCATAGCATTTTAGGATTGCAGATACCTTAATGTATTCGTCATAAACAGATCCTAGACTTCGCACTGCTACTCTTGACTACAATGTATCGAGTAATCTTAAGTATAATCTTTGCTCAATATTAACAAGTGATGTTTTTCCTTTTGTACTGTATTTGTAATTTGCTAGTATACTGTGGGTAGTTGGCTTATTATGAACACACGCTACAACTTCAAGTCTTTTGTTTACTTTTTCCTTGTTATTTAATTCAGCCAACATGGTTAGCAACCCATAAGATTAATGTTAAAAAAATGTGATTTTCAGTTTCATTTTTCTACGTAGTTAGATTTTTGTTGGCAGTTCTAACTGCATGAAACTCGTTTTTAGGCCAGAAATGAACTATTTACAACATTTGAAGAAAATCGTCGGAGCCGTTTTCGAGATCTTTGTGCAAGCAAGCAAGCAAGCAAGCATACAAGCAAACATTGCTCGTATTAGAGTATAGGATATGTTTGAATTATTTTAAAATGAAGTTAGCAGGAAAAAACATTTTTCTCTATGTATATATTATGTAGATGTCACAGTTAATTTATTATTGTTTTTCCAATTTTAATTTTGTTCTCAACCTCTTGTCAAATCAAAGGTATAAACATGGGGCTGATTGTAGCACTAGGGATATGCATCTTTTATCAACCGCCATGCAAGCAGCTTCTTTAAGATTTCTTAGTTTCCAGTCTGCTTCCTGGTAGATCATAGTCAATTCAGTCCAATGTATTCTATGTTCTTCAGCAAGTATCTGTAAGTTGGTAAGTTTGGAATAATTCTAATGCTCTTCTGGTGTTCTTTTAGTCTCTTATCCACAGGTCTTGATGTTTGTCGGTAATAACTTCTTCCACATTCACAGGGTATTTGATAAACTATATTTTTTGTGTCTTGATCTTTGTTCTTGGACTTCACTCTGGTCAGAAAACTTCTCAATGTAGGTCCAGAAGAGAATACTGTTCTTATGTTAAACTTTTTGTTCATTCTTCTTATTTGTTCAGACTTACCGTTGACATACGGTATAGATATGGTACAATTAGGTCTTTCTTAATTTCTACTTAAGTTATTTCTATTTAACAGATTTTGTTATGTTTTATTTAAGGCCCTAATTATCAAATCTAACGGATAATTATTTCTTTCTAATTCTTCTTTGATTATTTCTCTATCTCTTTATTTCTTGCTTCTTCGTCTGATGATACTTTAAATGCTCTGTAAAATAAGCCTTGGGCTATCCCCATCTTTACGTTATTTGGGTTACTAGAATGAAAATTGAAATACTGTCCCATATTGGTAGTTTTCCTATAGACTGAAGTCCTAAAGCCATTTTCTTTCTTTTCAACTAACACATCAAGAAATGGTAGTTGATCGTTTATTTCTATTTCTGCTGTAAATTTAATAGTTGGGCATAAATTGTTGATATGGTGTAAGAAATCGTCGAGATTGGTATCTGGCTTCATAAACAAAATATATCGTCCAGATATCTAAGCCATATTTTTGGTTCCCTTTCCCATGTCCTAAGGGCGACACTTTCAAAACTATCCATGTAAATATTACTCAGTATAGGACTTACCCATTGGTAAACCTGATTTTTGAAGATAAAACTGAGAGTTGAATTGGAAATAACTGTGATTTACGCACACCCCCAACATTTCCATAATTGAGGACACAGGAAGACCAGTTTGCTCTTGTAGACTATCGTCTTTCTTCAACTTTGTTCAAACTATTTTTAGCAGCTCATCTACTGGTATGTTTGTGAATAAGCTGGAAACTTCATAACTAACCATTATGTCTCTTGTACTTACATTTATTCCTTTAATCTTCTCTATGAAGTCTGTAGAGTTGTTTATGAATGAGTTTTCTAAGCCAAAAAGTGGTTTTAGTTTAGGTAGCAGAAACTTAGACAGCTCATAAGTTGGTGAGTTGATAGAACTTACTATTGGTCTTAGAGGAATTCCATGTTTGTGCAGTTTTGGCACACTATAAATATGGGGAGGTTTTGAAAATTGCGGAGACAGCCTTCTAATAGTGTTGCTCAAAAGGTATGAATTTTGGTCTTTTAATACAGCCTTAACTTTACTCATAATATTGTTGGTTGGATCTTTAGGAATAGGGGTGTATTATCCTCCTTCAAGGAGTTCCTTCATTTTGCTATTGTAGTCAGTTTTATCCATTAATACTGTTGCCCTACCTTTATCTGCTGGTAGAATCATGATTGAATCATCAAAGATTTTATAGCACCTACTTCGTCTATAGAGAGATTGCATTTGGTTTTACTTTCTTTTTTTTAGAGTGCCGACTAAATTACTTGTATAGTAGTCTCGTTGATCTTCAGGAAGAGAATCTACATTACTTTTTAGAGGGATTAACTACAAACTTTTTATTCAATTGCTCATTTGACGTCTGGGCTCGATTACTTATACAGTATTATTTTCTTCTTTTAGCCTAGCAAGTTAATCTTTTGTCCCTATTTAGTAGAATTATATACTTGGTTGTATAAATAAAGAGCAGCTGCTGTTATTTTGTTGTAGTCTGAATTATCAACTAAACATTTTATATTTACTTCCAAAAGTTGAATCAATTTTAAATATATAACTTGGTCTGAGTTTTCTCTGATAGTTGCTAGAAGTAAATCTCGAAGAATTTTTTGTTTGTTTTGAGGGATACTAATTATTACTGTTAGTTGTATCATAATTTTACTGTGTTATATATTTCAAAAGCTGAAAAATTAATTTTGTGCTTTTGTAGTGCCTTTATTTAACCGTCAGGAAATATCTTCTTTAACAAACACTCATGTGCCATTTTGGGTACTTTTCATGAAAAATGCGCAGAAACATTTTGGACCTGCGTTTTACGATTGCCGTTACAAGAAAATCCCATAGTTGCTTGGAAATTCTGCCATGTTTTACACAAGGTAGGTCTAATGCTTATTGCAACCTATTTACAATATCAATTTACTAAATTATAATAATACAAAAAAATGATTCATTTTGATTTTTATGATTTTGTTTCTAAATTTGATATTATTAAAGCCTTTCATGAAAGGTTGTTATGTAGAGAAGTAAGGTATTAACGTTGTGCTAGGGCGAATCATGCCTAATTATTCCGCCTAGATCGCAGCATTAGTACTTGCAGCGCTCTCCCCTTCGCCGCCTGTTCCCCTTCCTATCCCCACCAAGCCAAACCACGCAGCTGCTGCTATTGTCTGTGTTATCTGAATTCTGAAATGTCTTGAGTCGCTAGTCGCTTGTCTACCCGAGCTGGGCCGTTGGGGGTGCGATTCATTTTCATCTTGTTTGTAACATAAAATAGTGATTAAAAGAATGGCCAATTACCAACTTAATAATAATTAGCATAGCCTCGCCTTGTTAATAGCAATTAGCACTAAAATAAATAATTTTTATTATAATAATGGCTTAATTTACCTCTGTCAATATGGTCCTTGCGTAGTTTGTCACTACTGCAGTTTCGTGCTCGTGGAGCACATCTTCAGGTGAAGGATCACAAAAGTTAAAACATTTTCTTCATGTGAAGGTCGTCAATTTTTGAAAAAACACCGAAAACATATAACACACGAACAGTACGAAAAAATATTTACAAACTTGGCCAATACATTAAAGCGTTACGAGTCGGCGCCGGACCTCGTGTGTAACGCTTTAATGTATTGGCCAAGTTTGTAAATGTTTTTTCGTACCGTTCGTGTGTTATATGTTTTTGGTGTTTTTTTTAAAATTGACGACCTTCACATGAAGAAAATGTTTTAACTTTCGTGATCTTCACCTGAAGATGTGCTCCACGAGCACAAAACTTCAGTAGTGACAAACAACGCAAGGACCATATTGACAGAGGTAAATTAAACCATTATTATTGTTACCGTATGGTCCAGAGGCTACCCATCATGAAATTTTATTAATAAATCTATATAAATAAAATTACAGTTGTGACTGAAATTGCTTGGAATCATAACGTTTTTGGTTATTTTTACGTTTTACACCCTAAGAAAACCGAAACAAGTCTGTTCTCAATCTCTCTCTGTCTGTCATTGTTTCTGTGACGCCAAAATTCTAACTATGCGGCCTACTCCGAGAAAACTAGAGTACCATTCATAATGATAACAATTAAATTGTATTCACAATCACGGGGTCGGCAAGAGTGTGTTTAGCCATTAAAATATAGCCTCAATACTTGGGAAATAAAATAACTGACGTTCAAAAACCCAATTTTGTGCAATTCTTGTTGAAGTTTTTTCCCAATGTTTAGTACGTCATTTAATTTATTACTAATCATCTGTTTAGAGAATATGTCATCAATAAAATAACGAACAGCGATTTGAAACAATGATCCTTTTTTCTAGCTGTCACTTATATTAAATGTTGTTGTAAGATGTCGTTGTGATTGTAACAGATGTTCACGGATGCTGCTAAAATCGCTTTCCCAATATGTCGATTTCGGTTTCGATTCACCAGTATTGCACTGCCATCGCTGGACAGTACCGCCATTAGGCCCGTGTTCCACCTCCTATCAGTACACAGGCCCGCCCAATTGTCCATAACCAAATTTCGACGTTGGTTCTTAGTTTACAGAAATCGTTTGAAAGAGATTGGAGAGTTTATATTTTTTCTAAATATTGCCATTACAAATAGCTCAAATAAAAATGTTTTTCAAAACACAAATCAATTTATTTTTTACAATATGAAATTTTTATTACCGTATGCTTATGACTTTTAGCATGTCTTCTAGCGTAAGAAACGTTTAACAGATTTACAAAATACGTAGGCTAACAACGATCTATTAATTCCGGTCCAAAGTTTTGCTTTTTTTAACATCTAAAACCTCTTAAAAACTGGGCAAATATTTTTTTGTAATTTTTTTATTGCCTATTACCACACTTGAAGCAATACCTGATTAATTTCGGTACAAAAATAAAATATTCAAAAGCCCAAGCACAACCATAAAGGGATTAAATTAATAGTTTGTATGTAATACTGGCCTGAATTATTTGTAGCAAAATATTTTATGTACTTTAAAATTTTTTTAGGTTTTGAGAGAAGGCCACCCCCAAGTGATACCAAACTCTTTAAGACACCGTAGTAAACTAGAAGACTTGGGGAAATTATGGGTAAGTTTTTTGACGCATTTAGTATATAGCCAGTCTATCATCAAATAATGTAAAGCAGATTACTGTCTTTCTAGGTTTTAGCAATTTTCCCATATAGGGAATAAGGTATTACCATAGGTCTCATGGTAAGACCTGGACCCCGGGCTGAATTTAATTTTTCGTTTTGAAGTCCCCATGGGTAAAAAAACCTCTATTCAAATTCATATATAGACCTATATATGTCAGTAAAAACTCAAGCAATATAATGATTTTGATGATATTTTGTCCAAATGAGTAAACCTACGTTTGTTCTAACAAGTTTTTAAACTAGCATTATCAGACTATGGGAACAGTGGCTTATGGGGGGGTGGTTATGGTTTGGTTGTTTCCATTTTTGACCTTAATAAAATTATAAATGCCTCAAATTCTAACAAAAAATGTACTTTTTTTATGATATAACCCAGTTACAAGAACAGTTTTAATCAATTAATTACCTTTTTGGTTTTTCTTGCCTTGAAGTTCTTGTTGGTTTTTGATACCTGATGCGCATTTCGCCACAGGTTGTGGCATCTTCAGAGTTCACTATCCTACACTTACATTCTAATATATACACAGTTTATATACACAAGAGTCACTGTACCGGTTCACATGGTAGCGTTTACACTCGCGGCGCGGCGGGCGTGTGTTGCGAGCGCGGGGTGTTTACTTGTGCCGGGATCGTTGTTAGACTGACAGAAAGAGTGCCTGGTGGATGGACGGGTTGGGGTGTGGAATTCCCAGAATTGTTGTATCTGCGACGTTGTCTAGTTTCTGCGGGGTTGCCAAATCGGTTGGTTTCTATTTCGTACATGGTCTTAAAGATGATGGAGTTATTGAAGTCCTCTTTTATGTTAAGTAGGCTGTCAGGTCCAGATTCGGTAACTTGTTTATAGATTTGGTAGCTTTCCTGTATTTTGGCTGTGGTTTTTGACTGGGTTCTGTTCAGGATAGTAAGGGAATCGGGGAATGTTATTGAATGAGTATGGTTTTGTTTGAGGTGTTTTGCTACTATTGAGGTTGGATTTTTGTAGTGACTAGTGTTGTGTTCTTTGAAGCGTTGGGAAAATGATCTATTCGTGTAGCCAATATATTGTTTGTTACATGGTGGATTGCAGGTTATTTTGTATACTCCTCTGTCTTTTTCTATTGGTCGGGCTTCTTTGTCGTATAGTGGTATAGGACAGTTTTTGACTTGGTACGCAGGTGTGTAGCCAGATTTCTTGAAAACTTTGCCAATTTTCTCTGATATTCTGCCAGTGTATTTGATTGATATATATTTTGGGTTTGGTTCGGGATTTTGGGCAGTAGTCTTGTTTTCAGGACCGTGTTTTATTTTCCTTTTCATTTTGTTTATAATGGGGTCAATTATGGTGGGGTTGTATCCATTGTTTTTTGCTATTGTCTTTATTATATTAATTTCTTTTGCATATTCCAGGTCGTTAAGGTTGTAATTTAATAGCCTATAGACTAATGAACGGAAGGCAGCCATTTTTTGATTGTATGGATGGTTGGAGTCGGAAGGTATTATGAGGTCCGTTTGGGTGGGTTTCCTATATATTCCAATAGCTACTTTTCCTGTGCTGTTTTTTGTGATGGTTAAATCGAGGAAATTTATACGGTGGTTTTCTTCTGTTTCCATTTTGAATGTGATGTTGTTGTGGATTTTGTTAATGTGGTTTAGAAAGAGATTTATATAATTAATATAATAAAGACAATAGCAAAAAACAATGGATACAACCCCACCATAATTGACCCCATTATAAACAAAATGAAAAGGAAAATAAAACACGGTCCTGAAAACGAGACTACTGCCCAAAATCCCGAACCAAACCCAAAATATATATCAATCAAATACACTGGCAGAATATCAGAGAAAATTGGCAAAGTTTTCAAGAAATCTGGCTACCCACCTGCGTACCAAGTCAAAAACTGTCCTATACCACTATACGACAAAGAAGCCCGACCAATAGAAAAAGACAGAGGAGTATACAAAATAACCTGCAATCCACCATGTAACAAACAATATATTGGCTACACGAATAGATCATTTTCCCAACGCTTCAAAGAACACAACACTAGTCACTACAAAAATCCAACCTCAATAGTAGTAAAACACCTCAAACAAAACCATACTCATTCAATAACATTCCCCGATTCCCTTGCTATCCTGAACAGAACCCAGTCAAAAACCACAGCCAAAATACAGGAAAGCTACCAAATCTATAAACAAGTTACCGAATCTGGACCTGACAGCCTACTTAACATAAAAGAGGACTTCAATAACTCCATCATCTTTAAGACCATGTACGAAATAGAAACCAACCGATTTGACAACCCCGCAGAAACTAGACAACGTCGCAGATACAACAATTCTGGGAATTCCACACCCCAACCCGTCCATCCACCAGGCACTCTTTCTGTCAGTCTAACAACGATCCCGGCACAAGTAAACACCCCGCGCTCGCAACACACGCCCGCCGCGCCGCGAGTGTAAACGCTACCATGTGAACCGGTACAGTGACTCTTGTGTATATAAACTGTGTATATATTAGAATGTAAGTGTAGGATAGTGAACTCTGAAGATGCCACAACCTGTGGCGAAATGCGCATCAGGTATCAAAAACCAACAAGAACTTCAAGGCAAGAAAAACCAAAAAGGTAATTAATTGAAAAAAATGTACAGTTAAGAAGTTATCACATTCTAAGCAAAATCTTTGACAATAAGTTAGTGTCAGCAGTGGAATTCGATCTGGTTACCTATTGGACATCAGCCGAGTACTCTGTCCACTTCACCACGAACACCAATGGCAGCACCAGGTATCGTTGCGGTAATATGGTGTTCATTATATTCATTCAACCATTAATCAATTGAATCGAACCTACTTGGTCCGAAATAATATCGTTACTTAGTATTTTGATATTGAACCGATAGTACACGGCGTTTTTGTAAGAAAATTTGCTCACCTACAGTATGTAGTTTAGTATGAAATAATGCATTTTTTTAATTTGATCAAAATATGTTTATAAACAAGCAAACTACAAAACTGTTATTTATTCTCCATAAGAATAACATAGGGATTTAAAATTTAAAACTTTTTGAATTTTCTCCATAACCATTAGGCGCATAATAATGCTTCAATATACTAAATATAGTGATGGGCCAATGTCTGAATTGGTCGATTCTGATTTTACAACTTTGGTTTCGATTCTCGATTCCACATTTGATACCGATACCTGTTAAAAATTAATTTAATAATAACACATATAACTTATGTGTGCTTATCGCTATCCCTATAAATAAAGAAGCATGTTATTTTTTTATTTAAATCTTTATACAATAAGATAACTGCATTGCTATTGATTAAGGTTACATAGATTTGGTTATCGTATAAGGAAAATAAGATAGGCTACTTCAAGAAGACATGCATTTTAATATATTTTATTAAATTAAATTGAGACAACAATCACCGGTTTAGGTAGGCCTAATATGATCACTGAGTTTTTTGTTTGCATAAGGCCCCCCATACACGTAACGATCAGCCGGCCGGCCCGGCCTGAACAGTCCACGCCAGCCGGCCGATCGTTACGTGTATGGGGTCGTCGTCCGGCCGCCGGACGACCAAATTGGCCGGACGACGACTGATGGGATTCCCATTAGTCGTCGTCCGGCCAACCCCCGCCTTCAGGCCGATCGTTACATGTATGGGGCCGCCGGCAGGCCGCCGGAAGGCCGACAGTACAGTAGTAGCATTATTTTTTATTTACGTTCATTTTTAAGGTCAAATACGGTCATTGCCATAACCTATGTGGTAAAAAACATGTGTCTTCAATTCTTTATTGTTTTGTTGTGTTTGTAAACAAATCCATTATAATTCAATGTAGTATTGTTCAAGTTATTAAAAACCTTTCTAAAGGTAATAAAAGTTCTTTTTCATTCGTTCTTACTCTCATTACAATTTTAATAACTTGATATTGTGAAATGAATACGATCCTAAAGCCAGACAAGTTTAGTGTAGATCCAAACTCATCATCTGCAAGTAAGGAATGGACACATTGGCACAAAACGTTTCAGAATTTTGTTACCAGCATCACACCACAACCATCCGACTCCGATAAACTCAAAATACTTATAAACTTTATTACTCCGGAAATCGACGAGTACATAAGTGAAAGCGGTACGTATAACGATGCTATATCTGTGCTAAGAAGTATCTATGTAAAACCTGTAAATGAAATATATTCCAGACATAAACTATCTGCACGTCAGCAGCAACCTGAGGAGACTATTGACCAATATCTCCAGGCTTTAAAATTACTAAGTAAAGACTGTCAGTTTAAAGCTGTCACAGCTGAAAAGAATAGGGATGATTATATCCGTGACACATTTATTGCAGGAATAAAATCTTCTGCAATTCGCCAGCGCTTACTAGAAAATGTTTCGTTGACCCTAGATCAGGCATATAGTCAAGCCAGATCCCTAGAACTTGCACATGAGCAATCATTAGCTTTTCAATCTTTCCAATCTATAGTAAATGCAACTTCGTCCCAAGAAACTCAAGCGAGCAATCAGAATGTTGATGCAACTTCAAGCAGTTTAGAAAAGTGTTCTCTAGCTGCTGTGACTGAAAAATGTTTCTTTTGCGGTAATCTAAGACATCCTAGGGTCAAATGTCCAGCTAAAAATACAATTTGTCATAACTGTGGTAAACAGGGGCATTTTGCTAAGGTCTGCAGGTCAGGTAAATTACAAACCAAGCAATTGGATAAATCTAAAGAAGTAATGAACTCTATTGACCTAGCAGCTTCGCCCGGTGGGTTAACAAAGAGTACAGTACAAGCCCTAGTTAATGGTAAATCTGTCTCTGCTTTGATAGATACGGGAAGCTCTCTAAGTTTTATAAACAAATCTACTGCTCTTAATTTAGGTATTCCTATAAAACCAGGTAGGGGTACTGTGGCTACTACATCAATCACATCCGACATAACAGGTCAATGCAAAGTAAATCTTGTCATTCTTGATCACTTTTACAAGCAAGTTAATCTTTCATTGTTACCAGATCTTTGTGCAGACATAATTGTTGGACATGATATTTTGAAAAACCATGCAAGTATTAAAGTAGTCTTTGGTGGCAACAAGTCACAACTAACCGTATGTAGCGTGGCAGCCTCAACTGTAGAACCGGTATCTTTGTTTTCTAATTTAAAACCGGAATGTAAGCCAATCGCAATCAAGTACTCCTATCCTTTGGAATAAGTATTTATGGAGGAACATCACAAGCTAATTTAGACAGAATTTTAATTCTCCAGAAAAGAGCAATATGCATTATGTTAAATGTGCATTATGTTATGTTAAAAAGAACTAGGCATAATGACTGTATATAGCTATTATATCTATCAATGTGTATTATATACTGTCAAAAATTCGAATAATGTCTCACTGGTAGGGGATTCTCATCAATATTGTACCAGAAACAGAAATAACTATGCAACACCTTCACATAGATTAAGATTTAAAAAAAAAAAAACCAATGTATATGGGTATAAAATGTTACAATGCTCTTCCAACAAAACTAAAGGACTACACAAGGACTACAAAATTTAAAAATAATCTAAAAATGTACTTTATAACCAATCCCCTGTATTCAAAGAACGAATTTTTCCTCTTACATAATGTATTAGAATAAGAACTTTTTCAATAGTGATTATATCTTTTGTATTTTTTTAGGATTAAGCATTATGATTTTGATCCAATGTAATGACGCCATTCGTGCACATGTTTGCAAAGTATGAATAAAGTTGATTTCATTTCATTTCATTTCAAGTATCATCGCCATACGACCGATGATTTAAAGTTTATTGAAAACGAAGTAAGTAAATTGCTTAAAGACGATGTTATAGAGCCTAGTATGTCTCCATGGAGGGCTCAAGCATTAGTAGTTACTACTGAAAATCATAGAAAAAGAATGGTCATTGACTACTCCAGAACTATAAATCGTTTTACATTACTGGACGCTTACCCACTACCTAGAATCGATGATATTGTTAACAAAGTTGCAAATTATGAGTTTTTCAGTACTATTGACTTGAAAAGTGCGTACCACCAAGTTAAGATAAGAAATGAAGAAAAGCACTACACAGCTTTTCAGGCCTGTGGTCAACTCTACCAGTTTAAGCGTATCCCGTTTGGGGTCACTAATGGGGTGGCAGCATTCCAACGTGTAATTGACCAAGTCATCCGAACAGAACAGTTACAAGACACTTACGCCTATCTTGATGATGTTACAATCTGTGGAAAAACACAAGAACAACACGATATAAACTTAAAAAAGTTTATCGAAGCTGCATCCAAATACAACCTAACTATTAATAATGAGAAGTCTTCATTTTCACTGCGATCGATCAACTTGTTGGGCTATCATATATCAAACAAAACTATCAAGCCTGACCCCAGTCGACTAGATCCTTTGAAAAAATTACCTCCGCCCGGAGACACCGCATCACTGAGGAGGACCCTTGGTATGTTTTCACATTATGCATCACTTATACCAGATTATGCTGCCAAAGTGATTCCACTTGCGCGTACTACATTCCCTCTGTCCAAAGCAGGGCTCCAGTCTTTTGAAACTATGAAAAGTGAAATCATCGGATCTGTAGTAAGCTGCATTGTCCCTGAAGCACTGTTCATCGTAGAAACTGATGCATCTGAGAGTACCATTGCTGCTACTTTGACTCAATCGAACCGTCCAGTCGCATTCTTCTCAAGGATACTTTCTCCAGCAGAACAAAGACATTCAAGTGTCGAAAAAGAAGCACAAGCTATTGTGGAAGCACTGCGGAAATGGCGTCACTATTTGGTTGGTAAACATTTCAAACTGATTACTGACCAGAGGTCGGTTTCTTTTATGTTCGATAACAACCGTCATGGCAAAGTGAAAAATGAAAAGATAATGAGGTGGAAACTGGAATTGTCGTGCTTTCATTATGATATTGTATATAGACCCGGTAAAGATAATATGGCTGCAGATGCCCTGACTAGAGTATGTTCTTCAATCCAAAATCAAGAAAAACTGTTGATTGATTTACATGCCAATCTATGTCACCCAGGTGTGACACGTTTGTACCACTGGGTTCGGAGTAAGAACGATATAGACCCGGTAAAGATAATATGGCTGCAGATGCCCTGACTAGAGTATGTTCTTCAATCCAAAATCAAGAAAAACTGTTGATTGATTTACATGCCAATCTATGTCACCCAGGTGTGACACGTTTGTACCACTGGGTTCGGAGTAAGAACTTGCCCTACTCGATTGATGAAATCAGACGAATAACAAACTCCTGCAATGTGTGTGCTGCTGTGAAGCCTAGATTCTTCAAACACAAAGGGATTTTGATTAAAGCCACTTCTGTATTTGAACGGCTGAATATCGATTTCAATGGCCCACTGCCTTCATCAAGTCGAAACCGTTACTTATTAGTAATAGTAGACGAGTTTTCACGGTTCCCTTTCGCTTTCCCGTGTTCAGACATGTCATCGTCAACAGTTAAGTCAAAACTAAAAACATTATTTTCTACTTTTGGGGTTCCTAGTTACATACATTCGGACAGAGGAACATCATTTCTGGAGCCAAGATCTAAAAAGCTACTTGAACTCACTTGGAATCTCAACTAGTAGAACCACTGCGTACAATCCAGCAGGTAATGGGCAAGTAGAAAGAAAGGTATAACGGCATTCTATGGAAAACAATTGAACTGGCATTGAAATCACTTAACTTAGAAATAAACCAATGGGAGACAGTTTTAGAGGATGCCCTTAGCTCAGTGAGATCATTACTTTGCACAGCCACAAATCAAACTCCTCACGAGCGTATGTTCTTACATCCACGTAGATCTGGGAACAATGGTGTTTCAGCTCCTTCATGGCTTCTCAATTCCGGCCCTGTCTACTTGAAGAGATTCAATCGTACGTCCAAGTATGAGCCACTTGTTGAAGAGGTCCAACTTCTTCACGGGAATGCCGAGTATGCTCATGTTAAGTTGCCTGATGGAAGAGAAACTACCGTGTCTACACGTCATCTTGCTCCGGTTGGTGAGTACCAAACCGACATAGAGCAAACCGATTTTGAGAGTGATGAAAATACTCTATTACCCACTTCTCAACCTGAACCTGAATACTTTCCTAGTCCATCATCAACACAAAATCAAGAAGATGAAATGAATACTACTGCCGAGAATTTACAACCTAGACAAGAAGCTTCTAGAGTAGAGAACCATAACACATATCCAGTAGAAGAAGTTTCAGAAGCAGAAGACCTCCTAATTATTTAAATGACTACGTTCATTAACATAAGGGAGGAAGAATGTGGTAAAAAACATGTGTCTTCAATTCTTTATTATTGTTTTGTTGTGTTTGTAAACAAATCCATTATAATTCAATGTAGTATTGTTCAAGTTATTAAAAACCTTTCTAAAGGTAATAAAAGTTCTTTTTCATTCGTTCTTACTCTCATTACAACCTAACTTTATTTTCTGTTCAGTCTTTGTACTAATATGGCTACGTGGACTAATCAGCATGTGCTAGCCTTTATAGAAGAATACAGAGAGCATGAATGTCGGTGGAGGGTCAAAACAAAGGCATACCACAACAGGGACTTAAAAGATCCAGCTTATAGCAAGTTAACCAAAACGTTTTTGCCGTACGAAAACTGACTGCACACTTGCCACTAGGCGGAGAAATTTCAGTCCGGCCGGCAGGCGAATCGTTGCGTGTATGGGGACCCTCCTTTCACAGGCCAAACTGTTCAGTTTGGCCTTCCGGCCCTCGCCGGCCGGCCGATCGTTACGTGTATGGGGGGCCTAAGAATTTGTACATCTAGGCCTACAATGAATGTTCCATATTTATTGAGTTATAAACTCAAAGTCAATATCAAATTCATCTTTAATATTGTCATTATCAATGTCACTTAAATTACTTAAAGAATCCCATAAAAGTCATGGAGTTCGACACATCACTAGAACGGAGATCATAATCCATTTTGAACAACTCACTACGCATGTATGATCTGATACTGGATTGGTGGTTTTATGCCCTACTGTAATGGTCGTGTAGTTAACTGAAGACAATTCTGCCTAAAAAATCCTTACACCGACACCTGATTAGTGGGGGATTTTCCGTAAAATCTTCATGGCTCAACTTAGCAAATCCAAATAATTCATTTGAAAAAAAAATCTCAAACATACTGGACTGGTGGGGTTTTCTGTACCATGTTAATGGCCAAACAGTAGCCTAAACTTAAAGCCACTCCAGAAAATTCTGTTTTTTTAAATTTCTGGATTGGCTGTGTAGCCTAAATTAGCCAAATAAGTGCATATTTAGAAAGTGAATTGTTGGCATTACTGTATCTGTAACTCGTGTGTGAACATATAGGGTCACCTAAGGGAAGGTTATGGCAGACTGATACAGCACTATTGTAAACTGCTGTGTGTCAAGTTAGACTTCCACAGACGCAACCCTCGGTTCCCCGGCAACCTGTCACTCTCCAAAGATGAGCTAGAGGCCATCGGAGACAATGACATCAACAACTACTTCCAGATGTCCGTCGAGATGTTTGACTACATGGACGAGATATTGGCTCTGCAAGCTGCAGGTTAGTACAAAATTGTCTAACTGAAGTAAACATCCTTTATTTATTATATGAGACTTATTTATGGATTGTGTTAACAATTAAAAAAAAAAAAAAAAAATAGACCAATTGAGGGAGAGAGCTGGTCTACTGGTAAAACGCAGGGCTTTGGTCTTGGGTTCCAATCCCAGCAATCACATATTAGCAATTACTGTAATTGTGGGAGAGAGCTGGTCTACTGGTAGAACGCAGGGCTTTGGTCTTGGGTTCCAATCCCAGCAATCACATATTAGCAATTACTGTAATTGTGGGAGAGAGCTGGTCTAATCGTAGAACGCAGGGCTTTGGTCTTGGGTTCCAATCCCAGCAATCACTTATTAGCAATTACTGTAATTGTGGGAGAGAGCTGGTCTATTGGTAGAATGCAGGGCTTTGGTCTTGGGTTCCAATCACAGCAAATACCTAGGGGTTGCGGCATTATCACTTAGATAAAATCCATTGGTGACTTGGCGGGGATCGAACCCGGGACCTCAGGGACTGAAGTCCCGCGCTCTAACCACTACCCCAGCTCGCTCCCAGCAATAAAATATTAGCAATTACACTAATTGTACACTAATTGTGGGAGAGAGCTGGTCTACTGGTAGAACGCAGGGCTTTGGTCTTGGGTTCCAATCCCAGCAATCAGCTATGCAAAAATGCCACGACCCTCTAGGCCTAGTCTGGGCAAGAGTCTAGCATTCTAAAGCGTTTTAAAGGCAGGGTGTTAAACATAATCCCCTCTAGTAAAAAAAAGTTTCACACATTAATTTACACCTTACATAATCAGCGGATTATTAATGTGCTGCATCTATCTGTTTAAGTACAGCCTTAGGATGGCACCACTTTTACAGATAAGTGCTGAGTGAAATCGGTAGATCTCTATTATAGAATCAAAAATTAATTTAACCAATTTTTAATGCCATTGGTAATCTGGAGGCTGTAATACCATCATATAGATATTTGTAGACTAATATGTCTAATAAATACTTAATACATTTGAGTGATTAATTTAATGATTTGAGTCTATAGATGAGTGTTGATAAAGTTGTTTCCCTGCAGTGTTCGGCTCATTAGACATGTCAAGGTCCAACTCCATGACAAGTTCCGGCCAGTGTCGTCTTGCTCCTCTCATACCAGTCATACAGGACTCTTCTCAACTATACGACTTCTGTGTCAAAGTGAGTGGTTTGTAAACGAATCTGTAAATCAGAATTTAAATTTGATAGAAAGTGTAGTTAAGTTAAGTTTATTTAAAAGTAAAAACTCAAGATGGTCAAATCCAGAAATTTCGAATCTTTGAATCTCGAACCCAAAAAAATTACGAATGGGCTTATGGCGATTAAAAAAGTAAGAATGGAATAGGAACCATTTAACACTTATAACCACCACGACAACGATAACCTCTATGGTTAGGCAATGTCACATTACTGTATATTACGACGTCAATAACCTCTATGGTTAGGCAATGTCACAGTACTGTATATTACGATGTCAATAACCTCTATGGTTAGTCAATGTCACATTACTATATATTACGACGTCAATAACCTCTATGGTTAGTCAATGTCACAGTACTGTTTGACCTGAATAACCTCTATAGTTAGGCAAAGTCACATTGGCGTCAATAACCTCTATGTTTGAAAGACATGTTTTTAGGCGAGGATTATTATACTGTTTTGATCAGCTTTTGGGCTTCACTCACCTTAATTTGTTAATCCAGGACTCGTCAAAATGTAACACAACGAAGACACACAACACACACATACACGCACATAAAAAATCGTCCTTGGATTTACTCCGACGTTTCGCGGGACCAAAAATAACGTCCCGCTTCCTCAGGGAATTAAAACTTTATTTTTCTCACGTACACGAGCTGAACGCCTAACCACGACTGCCGGATCAGCTGTTCCTGTAGAGGGGGGGAGGGCAGGGGGGTTGGTGGACGTACTGGTTATCTACAATAACCAGTCACAATAATCATTGTCACAGTACTGTATATTGACGACATGAATAACCTCTATGGTTAGTCAATGTCACATTACTGTATATTACGATGTCAATAACCTCTATGGTTAGTCAATGTCACATTACTATATATTACGACGTCAATAACCTCTATGGTTAGGCAATGTCACAGTACTGTATATTACGACGTCAATAACCTCTATAGTTAGGCAATGTCACATTACTGTATATTACGATGTCAATAACCTCTATGGTTATTCAATGTCACATTACTGTATATAACGACTTCAATAACCTCTATGGTAAGGCAATGTCACAGTACTGTACATTACGACGTCAATAACCTCTATGGTTAATCATTGTCACAGTACTGTATATTGACGACATCACTAACCTCTATGGTTAGTCAATGTCACAGTACTGTATGACGTCAATAACCTCTATAGTTAGGCAATGTCACATTACTGTATATTACAACGTCAATAACCTCTATGGTTAGGCAATGACACAGTACTGTATATTACGACGTCAATAACCTCTATGGTTAATCATTGTCACAGTACTGTATATTGACGACGTCAATAACCTCTTTGGTTATTCAATGTCACAGTACTGTATATTACGACGTCAATAACCTCTATGGTTAGGCAATGTCACAGTATATGGCCTTATAATTCTATTCTAAAAAAAAATATATATTCTCAAATGTCGTTAATCAAATCTTGAATCCGAATCTTTTCTTAGGATTCGGTGGATTCGAGATTCGGATTTGACACATCCCTTGTTAAAATATAAGATAGTTTAGTTTCAATAAGTCAATAATAACTTAATAACTCATTCATTTGGCCAGATTGACAACATTTACGGATGATTTAAATACAGTTCTAATGTTTGTAGGAAAGACCATGAATTATTCTAATGGCTCTCCTTTGAAGGCGAAAAAATAAGTGGGTTCTAGTGCTTTCACCACCCCATAGTGCAACTGCATATATGATGTGTGGATAAAGAACGCCGTAATAAGCAGTAAGAAGAATGTCTTTATTTTAACATTTTGCTAGTTGACGCAGAAGGAAAATTCCTGAACTGATCTTTCTACATACAGAATCAATGTGGAGTTTGGACCATTGTTTGTGTTTTTCATTTTTATTTTCATTAATTGTATCCCTTACAACTTTGCTTTTATTGTCTGCCTGATTTATTTTACATAGGATGATAATAATATAATAACATTTCAGATATATAGGCTAACCTATAATATATAGCCTATAATAACATCTATAATCTTATGTTGTAATTGATCTTATGTTCAACCTATAATATATAACCTATAACCTATAATATACAACCTATAATAACGTTTCAGATTTCTTTTGCCTCACAATTTTGCTAAAATTAGATTTTATTCTCAAATAATATTGCCTTATGTAATGTTCGGAGGAAAGATCTTATGTTTGTTTGTATAGGTCAATCATTTCTGCCCTTTTTTGGCATATTTCTTTGTCTAAGATTACCCGACCCGTGTTTTTCCTTTCTTTTACCTTCTTTCTTTTCAATGGAAATGCTACTATGAATATGTGGCGTAACTATTAACCATATTAACCATTCCCGGACGGGTGACGGATATATCTGCCTAAGTCTTTGGCGATAAAGGACGGGTGGCGGATATATCCGCTTATGGTTTTTGATGTTCCGGACGGGAAGCGGCTATATCCGCCTTCTCTTCAGACAGACTGGCAGGTGCTTAAGCAGTAACCAGATGTTTTGCTGTACCAAGGCACCACTTTCCTGCTCTCTCCATGGCTGCGCTCTCTCCCGCACCTACCACCCCTCTCCCACGTCACCCCCTCTCCCGCGCACCACCCACCTCTCCTACGCTTCTCCATTGACGTTTCGCGCTAAACACTACGTTGTCTTTATTTATTGTTTACATATTGTTCTTTATTTATTGCCTAACGTTGTCATGTTAATATCTTCAAAGACGGACTGCTGATATATCCACTGCTTTTTTACTCATCTGCGGACGGGTAGGGGATACATCCGCATAGTTAAAAACGAGTAAAAAATTATTTTGACAGTATGAAGTGTTCCATTGTGTTTATTTTATGTATACTTGTAAAACAAACTATGTCAAGATTTCGCTCGTCCGGGAAGGGTTAAATACACAATCAGTATCCATAGCTTTGAAATAGAATTGTTTTATTGTCACTGCTGTCTAGCAACTATTTATTATTATTTTTGCTGATTCCTCAAATTATTTCTTCATATAAAAGTTGTAGTTGTGTTGACTATCAGTGAGCGTTATTATTGTGGTGAATAGTGGTAATAAGGTATAGTGTGGTAAAAAATAGCGTTCGTACCACGGACCGAAATGGTTTTGCAGCTCTCGATCGTTTTAAGTTCTCGACTTCGTCTCGAACTCAAAACTCGAGCCGGCAAAACCTCATTTTCGGCCCTAGGTACGAAATATCAATACTATTAAATTATGGCAGGAAATATAAGTTTTGCTCATCAGAATATAAAAACAATAATCCAGCTAATCCCCACTTATTTTGTTCAAAATAGCATATATTAGGGATGGACGGGATTGAATTTTTAGTTCGGGACGGGACGGGACGGGATTTTTATTTCCTTCCCGATTTTCGGGACGGGACGGGACGGGATTTTTTTCCGTGCATAAAAAGAAAGTACTGTATTGCAGTTACCAAAAAAAGACATACGAAATCAATTTTTACCATTTGTGGCACTGATCTATAAAAACCAAAAAATGGGTAACAATTTCCAGGTACCTATAGTAACTTGTGACTCGCGGGTCACGGGGTTATCGTCTGTATGACTCACGGTCACGGCGAGATCGTCGTCATGACTCGCGATCACGGCGCGATCGTCGGTATGACTCGCGGTCACGACGCGATCGTCGTCATGACTCGCGGTCACGGCGCGATCGTCGGTAGGACTCCGCGGTCACGGCGCGATCGTCGGTATGACTCCGCGGTCACGGGGTTATCGTTGGTATGACTCGCGGTCACGGCATGATCGTCGGTATGACTCGCGGTCACGGCATGATCGTCGGTATGACTCGCGAACACGGCTCGATCGTCAGCATGACTCCGCGGTCACGGCGCGATCGTCGTCATGACTCGCGGTCACGGCGCGATCGTCGGTATGACTCGCGGTCACGGCGCGATCGTCGGTAGGACTCCGCGGTCACGGCGCGATCGTCGGTATGACTCCGCGGTCACGGGGTTATCGTTGGTATGACTCGCGGTCACGGCATGATCGTCGGTATGACTCGCGAACACGGCTCGATCGTCGTCATGACTCGCGGTCACGGCGCGATCGTCGGTAGGACTCCGCGGTCACGGCGCGATCGTCGGTATGACTCCGCGGTCACGGGGTTATCGTTGGTATGACTCGCGGTCACGGCATGATCGTCGGTATGACTCGCGAACACGGCTCGATCGTCAGCATGACTCCGCGGTCACGGCGCGATCGTCGTCATGACTCGCGGTCACGGCGCGATCGTCGGTATGACTCGCGGTCACGGCATGATCGTCGGTATGACTTGCGGTCACGGCGCGATCGTCGGTAGGACCTCGCGGTCACGGCGCGATCGTCGGTATGACTCCGCGGTCACGGCGCGATCGTCGGTATGACTCGCGGTCACAGCGCGATCGTCGGTATGACTCGCGATCACGGCTCGATCGTCAGCATGACTCCGCGATCACGGCGCGATCGTCGTTATGACTCGCGGTCACGGCATGATCGTCGGTATGACTTGCGGTCACGGCGCGATCGTCGGTAGGACCTCGCGGTCATGGCGCGATCGTCGGTATGACTCCGCGGTCACGGCGCGATCGTCGTCATGACTCGCGGTCACGGCGCGATCGTCGGTATGACTCGCGGTCACGGCGCGATCGTCCGTAGGACTCCGCGGTCACGGCGCGATCGTCGGTATGACTTCGTCTCCTGCGTTCGCGGACCTATCGCTCGCAATAACGGCGTTATCGGCACTCGCGAAGCGGAAAAATCGCCGACGATCGGACCAAATCCCGTCCCGAAAAATTCCCGAGTCAAATGTAATCCCGTCCCGATAATCGGGAATATTTTTTTCCCGAAAAATTCCCGAAATTTCGGGACCCGTCCATCCCTAGCATATATAATTTGATTTTTGATAACTTTCAAGAACAATTCAACTTATAAATAAGAACTAGATTAGAATAATTAGATGGAACTCTCTGAGGGAGACTTACTTATGTTGCATTCCAGATACTGTTCCGCCTACATGCTAGTTTACCATCTGATGTACTCTCCGGCCATAGACAGAGGTTCTTGAACCAGTTCCGAGAACTGAGGAAGTTTTACATCGCTGCCTCGATGCTTCAATACTTCAAGAATCTTATTCAGATCCCCTCTTTGCCTGAGGTAAAGTATTTATTTTCCCAACTTACGATGCAATATTGTAAAGGCATGATAGGTAATACCATACAACCTTGGCAATATTGATCTTCAATATTATTTTAAAAAATATTCCATTAGAACTGTGAGAAATTGTCACAAAGAGTCATGACAGGAGGCTAACGCTATCCCGAAACGGATCTCTTAATCTTTTATAAGTGGTTTTGAAGAACAACATTATTCCATCCAAACATCACTACCTTGATAACATTTAGATATATAACAGTGCAGTGTCATTTGCAACATTTGTTACAAACTATCGTTGAGTGATACGACCGTTGAGCGTGGCCCCCTACCTGTTCAAGATAAAGGCCTGGTCAAGTACAAGTATGGTCCACTTCATTCAAGAAATGAGAGAGATAGATTATTTCAACAGCCTTACAATCAATACGGATAAAAAAACTGGCCTATGCATGCACAGGAATCTCACAAGTGATAGTAACCTCATGGCCAAATTGCACTAAATTATGCTTGAGGTTAATCTATAAGCACAGAAGTACAAGATGAGTGCCGATGTGAAGAGGGAAGAAAGTGAACTTGTACACAACGTGAGGGTAGACCTTCCTTTGTTGCTGATTAAATGAAAAATAGACCTGTCTTCCGCTGATGAAATTGCTGCAGTGTTTACCACCAAAGATGGCAATCCACCGATCTTGACCAAGAAGGATTTTTCAAAAGGAGCTGGAATCAGTTATCTTAGTTTAATATCAAACTCTCTCCATCAGCTGACAGACCTAATGTTATGTCCTCTCCCTTTCCCGTATGATGAAAGAAGCTGGAAGATGAACAAAACCAATAAACAAGAAATAAACGGTTTTTAATTTACCTAAAATTATAACAGGAAAAAAAGTTTTGATGTTTTTAAAAAAAGATTGAAAAATTATCTCCTTTCATTATCTTTGTATTCTTTGGATGAATTTTGGAATTGAAAGATAAATCATAAATTATAATTTAAAAAGATGATTTCATTTAATTTGTTTTGTTTAGTCTTCTTAAGCTTAACATTTGTCTTGTAAAGATAATGATTGTTTTAGCGATAAGTAAGGCATAATTCATCTTTATATTTATTTGACACTGTTCATTTTATAAAAACCTGTACTGTGAATGAATAAAGAGAATTTGAATTGAAAATGTAGGCGGTTTCAGGTAAACGACTCCATCCCCTCCACTTCACCGTAAAAGTGAAACAACAGCCGACAAATGATCAGCAGATATTTACATCAAGCAAAAAAAAAAGTGGTGGGGGAACTCAAGAAACCTTCCCTTTAAACCGCCTAAATATTGTGAACGGAGTATAGTAATAATTTATTTCACCATTCCAAGTTTGATATGCAAACAGATTCTTGGCTCCTGTTATGAGTAGTCAAATGTGACTCAGGTAGTGTCTACAAGCCTACCATTAAAAAACTTTGACGAAGTTGAGATGTACAATGTGTTTTCACAGAATCCTCCCAATCACCTGATCCAGGCGGATCTCCAAAGTTACGTTCCTCCAGTTGTAGTCATGCCTGGTGATAAGGAGCCTCAACCGACACCTGAGGTTTATTATAAGCAAACAATCTTTAATTGTCAATACTTGTTTAACAATTTCCTTTGAGACAAACAAGTAGTACAGATTCTACTTACAATGTTACAGAAATAACATAAAATAAGGTTACTGATTTGTCATCAATCAATCCTATATTTTCTAGTTGTTGACTAATTTATCGGTTTTAACCCCATTTTCAAATCCTTTTTCTTGTCAACTGCTGTTGTCAAATTTAAAGTTACTTTATAGAAAACACAGACACACTAAGAAACATTTATTTTACAAAATTTACAAACATGCAAGACCCGCCAAGGACAAAACCAGATTTCGAGAGCTGATACGAGCGTAGGTTAGATGATGCTTAGTTGATGACGTTGACCTTGGGGAAGGGTATCAGCTGTTTGTGTCCTCTATTGTTCGGTAGTTTTACCGCTCTGTCAAATATATTTTAACTTCTCATTCAAAACATCATTTGGTGAATTTTTGAATGCTTTGTAAATTTTAAAGCTTTTATGCATATAAATATTTAGGTTAAAAACCCGTTTGGTGATTATATAATTTCGAGTGTACACACCATGAATAATAAGCCTAAACGTTGATTGATGTAACAAATAATTGCAACACTATTACAAGCAAGCAATGGAGAAGTAGGTGTTCAAGTATAGTAACACATGGCCTAGGTGCTATGGCAGGTCGTAGCGCAGAGGTAAAGTTCTTGTCTCTCAAAGTAGAGGGTCCCTGGCTCGATTTCGTGCCACTTAGTATTCTTTTTATCCATGAATTACACTTTTACATTTTTCCACTTCAATGACAGCACTAACCACTTAAAAAAATAATCAACATATATTTTTGATTGCTTTAAATACGTAACAAATTCAGGATACCTAAATGAATTATAATTAATGTTTTTATGATAAATAGTTCAGTCCAACACACAAAAACAAAATATTATAGGCCTACAACTGATAGTACATCACAGGGTTTTAGCTATTTAGGGAAGCAAATAATAAGCACCTGATAAAATACTATGCCACTCCTGTTTAAAATTGTCTTACTATAATTTTCTATGTTAAAATGTCTTTAAATAAAAACGAGAGCCTTGGGTGTAAAATAATCTGATTAGACAAAACCATGAAATTTAACTCAAGTAAAAGTAAAATTTAACACTATAATTTATAACCTATAATTAGAATTATTCTAATTGGACATTTCACTCCATCAATTTCACTCATTTTGTACTACGCCACATTTATTGCTTGTAATTTATATCTAATAATTATCATATTAGCACTCGCATAACTATTTTTTATCTAAAACTGCAAATGTGAGCCAATTTGCACTCGTAAAAAGAACTTAATAATTCATTTTTACAATTATGTGAGTGATGAAATATCACTCTTTTCAAAAATACAAGTTTACTACAAATATTACGGGTGTAGAGATTTGGTAGAAAATGGCAAGTATTTATCACTGTAATTTACAAGAGTAAAACTTTATGAAACAGACTTGCTGTCTACACTAGTAAAAACCACTAGTAATACAAAATCCGTAAATTAGTCTTTTTCACTTGCAATTTTAACTTCTAAATAATAGTTAAAAATAATTTTTGCTCCACCTACTGCAAGCTCTGATATGTTAAGAGCACAACAAGCTCACAATCATTGGAAACAGATTAGTTATAGAATGTCAAGAGCTTGTACCGTAGAGGAACATTAGCATGTTTAACCGCCATCTTGAATTGACCGGGTAGAACCCTCTTAATGTAACCAACGAGCACATAATATAAATAGACACGCTTCAATAAGCGCAGTACAGCGAAGTGTCGCCAGTCTAGAGCGCCGCGACCCAGCCAAGATGGCGGTCGAAAGCATGAGTCACCACACTAGCGAGTGTCGAACTACGGTGATGCAATCCGACAATCCACTGTAATGTATTGACGCACGTCGTATGAACGCACATATTTGTTGTAAAGCTTGTATTTTTAAACGGTGACAGTTATAGTAAGGTGTGATCTGTAGAGTTGACTGGTGATAGTTGACATATTTTGTATTGATTAAGTTTTATTTAGTTATTAAGCTTAGTTTCAACAGTGCATTATTAATGTTAAGATACACTAATGCCACAAACATTTTGCTGCCTACGTATGCAGCAATGGAAGAAAAAATAATTTTACGTTTAACATGTAAGCATTAAAATTAGCAGGAATAATAGTTAATTATATTTAATCCTGATAAACTATAATATACGTTTGTTTTTCGTCTTGATCTGTCATTTCAAGAATTTCTCACACCAGAAGAAACTGTAATCTTGATGGAAACTGGAATAATAAAGTGAAAAATACATAAAGTAGTTTTAATAAACATGAATAAGCTATTATAGTTTTTATAGATATAACAACTCTATATTTTGGTAAAATAGTAAAACTGTTACTATTCACTTAATAAATCAAAACATCTACTACATTAACTGGTTACATAAGTTCTTGTTGGAATGCATTAAAAGAAATTTGTGCAGATGATTCACAATATCTGCTTACAGATATTGTGAGTCAGTTTTTAGGAATAAAATGAATATAGACGGCAGAAATATTCCCAACGAAATAAGTGTATTAAAGAAAATAACCACTACTGTTATGACACAGTGTATAGGGCTGCAACTGTTTTCTGGTGACCTTTGTTTCCAACAAGAAGCCGGCCAAAATCACCACAATTTATTACTAAAATATATAACTTATGCAAGGAATTCAATGATCTCATCCACACAAGCAGAATAAGGGGCCATCTTAACAAAACAATCACCTTTCTAGGTCAGTAAGAATTAGTAAAGAATGCTATCTGTATATAATAAACTATTGTAAAACTACAACCAGAATATAATTAATTACACTTCCCATACAAGTTCCTTACTTCATGGATTAACTTGGTAGTTTATCAACAATTAACTATAACATATGAATAAGTTTTTATAAATTAATATGGAATGTATAACAGACAAATTACGTACTAATTTTAAATTGTTTTAAGCTTTAAGTACGCTTGTTTATAACATCATATAAAATACTGTATGTTCATTTCTTAACCAAACTTTGCTAATAGCACTAATAGCAGTGTTAAAAATCTATATCTATAAAAGAGGAAGTTTGTATGTATATATATATATATATATATATGTTTGAACGTTATGGACTCCGAAACCGCTCGACAGATTGTAATGAAACTTTCAGGAATTATTAAGCATCTTTCAAGGATGGTTTTTGTGAAGTTTGGTGCAGATCCGTCAAAAGGGCTCCGCCCCAGAGGGTTTTAAGTGGGACAATGTCAGACTTTTTGAACTACAATGTTTACAAATAAATATAATTTAAAAGCAGATGTTTTCTTTCACCAACTGTTTTGTAGGTTTGAATAATCACAACGTTCTGTATTAGTCATGATTTGAAATAGTGCCACAATGTTTCTACAGAGTGCAGCACAGAAAACTATTTTAGTTTTGAATAAGTCCAAATATATTAACACGTTCGCTACTGCAATAGTACGAAATTTTTCATTCACGTGGACTAGCGACGCACATATGCGTCGGCCGGGTTCCACCCATAGACTGCCGTCGCATATATGCGTCGGCTAGTCACATTAAAATAGACTGCCGTCGCATATTTGCGTCGGTGTTCTAATGTTATTCAGAGTTTTAAATATTTAAATCATTGCTACCGCTGATGATATTGTTTTATAATGTTGACATTAGAATGGAACGCTTACTTTCATAAGTAGTTATAAATGCTTATATCTTTGTAACGGTCTATTTGAAGGCACTGAATTCCCTGCAGTGGTCTACAGAGATGTCTGACGCACGACTGCGTCGCTTGGTCTGTGGATATGATGATTGGTGACGTCATATGATAGTTGGAAAAACTGGTCTTTACTTTTCTGCATCACTGTTTGTATGTATGCAGTATGTATGCTAAATTTTCCTATGTAGCTTTTATATTTGTTCAGTTATAAACTGTTATTGATCAATCTGTTTTTTATTTTACTTACTTTCACCTTAAAACACAAAAAATGAACTGTCGCATATATGCGACGTTTAGTCTATTTCAAGAAAACTATGATAATTTTCACTATTGTCTTCGCTGTAGACCGGGCGTCGCAAATATGCGACATTACAAAAGGTTATTAATAATACAAAAAACAAGAATACATTATTTACAAACACGATTGTAGCGTATTACAATGTAAATGATCAATTTTTTACAGGTTTTCACCCGTGGTCTGTGTGTACTGTTATCCAAGTGACAGCCGGTCTGTGTGTAAGATTCAAATGTATACCTCGGTCTGTGGCAATGACCGCGGCGTCGCATATATGCGACGCTCAGTAGCGAACGTGTTAAACCCCAATCGCAGCACACCTGTGCACTCAACAACGTTTAAATTCTCCAATGTTGAATATGTAAACATAAAAACCTTGATTAAAGTATTATAAACAATAAAAGGGATGGTAATGCCTTAATATTTTTATCTTTTGTTCTATACCCACACAATCTAACATAAATTATTAAGTGAATAATAATCGTGCGTGCTATCTCAGGTATTCAAATGCCATTACTGGCATTAAAAGAAGGAACTCCATTAATACTAATGCGAAACTTAAATCCACTTAAAAGGAGAAATAGTCTTAATCCCAAGAATACTGATGACTTCATCCAAATTACCCTCTGAATTGAAGCAACTACAATTTCCTTTTTTTGTCTTTCTTTCCCAATCACCATTATAAGGCTTTAGGCCCTATTCACTGGCAATTAAGTAAAATATTCTATTTTTATTTTTGATACACACTTTTATTATTCATTGTAAAGAACAAATTACCATTTACAATAATAGTTGTTAAGCGCAGCAACGCGCGCCGGGTAACTGCTAGTATAGTATAATATACAACCCTACTTTCAAGTTGCCATGATAGAAATATCCAGTGATGCCCGATCGACACCCACACGGGCCCCGCGCGGCGGCAGAAATTAGTAA